CCCCCCCCCCCCCCCCCCCCAACAGTTTCTGCCCAGTGCTGGCCCTGCTCAGTACAGGCGAATCCAGAGCAGGCACGGGGCATGCCAGATCAGGGTTGTGCACAGGTCCCTGTTGGTAGAGCAGAGCTGAGGCCAGCAGCAGTGACATCCAGAAGGACCGGCCACTGCCTGGGCTGTCTGGAAAGGCAGTCCTGCCACAGAGCTGCCCCAGCCTTGCTGTATGCCCAGGGGGCGGCAGAACTATGCACACCCCACAAACCTCATACCCATCCACACATCCCCACAAGCACCCCCTACAAGCCTCCCATACCCATCCACCCACATCCACACATACCCCCACACCCACATACACTCACATCCATACACCCCCACAGCCCCCCAGAACCCTATACCCAGCCACCAATAACCCCACACCCTTCCCCACCTCCCACAATATACAGGAGTAAGACTTAATTTTGAGCTATTATGCAATTGCCTCTAAATACGCAATGAAAATGCGCACAAATAAGAACAAATTTTAAAATAAAATATGTCAATGTTTAATTTTTTTAGTGTATAATTTTTTTCCGGTTCCAAGATGGCAAACCCCCTTCCCAAAAGGAGTACTTCTGGGGCCAAGGGGAGGGACTTACAGTAGCAAATGGCAGGGGTTAGGGGCCAGGAGTTCTGGACCCACAATGGTGACCAGGTGTCAGGACAGCTGTCAAGGGATGGGGCTACAGCCCTTGACAGATCACCAAAACTCATTAAGTGGCCCTCTAGCAGAAATAATTGCCTGCCCCTGCATTGTATTGTAGTTTACTACAGGTGAAGACACATAGAGGATCAGAAAACTCAATAATATTTTTCTGGCATTTGGAAGATGACTTAACAGGCATTTATTTGTGAAATTACTGATGGGTGTAGAGTTTGGGGAAAGGGGAAGGTATAAAAAAAAAATCCAAAAATCTTGAAACTGTTGTTTGACGTAAATGGCATTATATTATAGTTAGTGAATGATCCTTGATAACAGAATGCAGAGCAACAGAGCAAGACAAAGAGAAATATATGTGGTCGCTCCTTAGTCAGTGGGGAGATATATAAAACTTTTTTTTTTTTTTAACAGGGAAAGAACCAAATAGGTTAAGGGAGAAACTTCCTTGGCTTCCATTATAAGTAAACTAAAGCTGCTTACTTAGGTGACACTCCAGTGGACTTTCACGTAAAGGAAACGACTGCCATGGTTGAAGGTTGACTCACCTTACTAGCTGCATAAAAACCTGACAGTTCTCTGGGGTTCTGGATGCTGAGCCTCCATAATGTATGATGAAAGTATTCTCGGAATGACCTAAAGAATTGCCTTCTTTGTCTAGCTAGGGATTGCAGAAATATTAAATGAAAGCCAGAATCCCATACCTAGGACTAAATGTTACATCAGTCTCAAAGTGCTACTAGTAAAGAAAAACCTGGAGTAAATGACATTCCTTTACACACATGTAACAGCCTCGCTGTACTTGCAGTTCCTTCCACACACATTTTATTGAACTCAGTGCAGCCCTTCATCAAGAAACTTTGACAGCTCTTGAAAAATTAAGCTTTGCATATGTCTAACAAGGAAAAAAACATGATTTTTGCATTTGTACACTTTTTTTTTTAGGCCTCATTAGGCTTTTTAATATCAGACTACCTTTATTGAGCTAATTCTGCAATTATATATGCTTTGATGTCAGTACATTTACAACCCTGCCCCTGACATTGATTAATGTTAATTTTATGATGATGACTAATTCTTTTTTTATTATGCCAGCACCTGGAGGCTTCAGTTTGGATTAAGGCCCTGCTACTCTAGGTGTTGTGCAAATGGAGTAAAAGACGGTCCCTGCCTTGAACAACTGAAACTAGCCAAAAATAACATAACTGGACCTAATAAACTATCAGAAAAATAAAGGGACTGAACATGATTAAACCACTAATAAAAATACCCATCCATGTGACCAGATAACTGCACGGGTTGGTGGTTTTGAAGTCAGTACATTAAAAAAGGGTGGGGGGAGGAGTAACGAACACTGTCACCTAGCCATTATCAGTCAAACCTATAGAAGACTCTTTAAGGCAGCTTTTCAATTTATGTTGTAAATGTTTTTACTATGAGGCTCTTGTAAAGGGTTGTGTTCTAATACAATGGCTTTTCTGTATCATGCCCAGCAAGCTAAGATACTAAATGGTATATCATTCGGTGATAAAAGTATTGTATGATAAAAGCATACTGAATGGTGTAGTCATGTAATATGCAATATTATGTTTTAAACATGTAGCCCACAAAAATTAAGGGCACAAAGGAATATATAAGCATGATTAGATTTTGCTTTGCAATTCTACTCGACCTGGGGGGAGGTGGGTAGCGGAGTCCCCCAGGGCTCGGTCCTGGGGCCTGCGCTGTTCAATTTCTTCATCAGCGATCTGGATGATGGGGTGGAAAGTAACCTGTTTAAATTCGCTGATGACACCAAAATTTGGGGGGAGGTGAGCACGCTAGCAGGGAGTGAGAGATTGCAGAGGGATCTGGATAGGTTACAGGGGTGGGCTAACAGGAACAGGATGCGTTTCAATACGGACAAGTGCAGGGTGCTGCACTTGGGCAGTAGGAACCAGCAGCACACTTACACAATGGGGAACTCCCTACTTGAGAGCACGGAGGCAGAAAGAGATCTTGGAGTCATTATTGACTCCAAGATGAACATGGGCCGACAATGCGAGGTCATGGTTGGCAGGGCTAACCGGACCTTGTCGTGCATCCACAGGTGCATCTCGAGTAGAGCCAAGGAGGTGATCCTCCCCCTCTACGCGACGCTGGTCAGGCCACAGCTGGAGTATTGTGTCCAGTTCTGTGCGCCCCATTTCAAGAGGGATGTGGACAACATGGAGAGGGTCCAGAGGAGGGCCACCCGCATGATCCGGGGACAACAGGGCAGACCCTACAGTGAGAGACTGCGGGACCTGAACCTATTCAGCCTCCACAAGAGAAGGCTGAGGGGGGACCTGGTGACCGTCTATAAACTCACTAGGGGGGACCAGAAGGGTTTGGGGGAGACGCTGTTTCCCCTAGCGCCCGCTGGCATAACAAGGAGTAATGGGCACAAGTTGATGGAGAGGAGGTATAGATTGGACATCCGCAAAAACTACTTCACAGTTAGGGCGGCTAGGAGCTGGAACCAACTTCCAAGGGAAGTGGTGCTGGCCCCTACCCTGGGGGTCTTTAAGAAGAGGCTGGATGCCTACCTGGCTGGACTCATTTGAGTCCCGTTTCTTGTTTTGGGGTTTTTTGTTGTTCTCCCGCCCTGGCGGGGGGTCGGGCTAGAAGATCTACTAGGTCCCTTCCGACCCTAAATCTATGAATCTATGAAACTATGAAAATTTAAACTTAGGTGGCAGTCATACCATATTTATTGAATCAGCCTGGGGAAAAAAGCCCCTTGTCTTATTCGCATAGGAAATGGAGGGGGAGGAGGTGGCTGCTGCAGCTCTGACTGGCCCTGAGCTCGGGTCAGAGCCAGAATGAGACCCACAGCAGCCTCCTACACCCACTTCCAATTTGCACTACTTCTGGCCCCCTCACCTGCCCTCTTCCTTCCTCCTTACTGTCAGGTGCAGCTCGGCTACAACTGGGGATGGGGTCTCTCCCATCAGAGAGCATGGCCGCTGATTAGCAGCACTGACACCACTGCATGACCAGACGAGAGCTGAGCTTCCATGTGCTGTGCTCTGGGACAAAGTAGCCCGAGCAGGTCTGATAGTAAGGTGGGAGGGGGCAGAGGGAACGGCAGAGACTGCGGGGAGCTTGGGGGAAAGACGCACTGCGAGGAGGGACAGAGGCTGTGGGGAGATAGGGGTGGGGGGTGCAGGTGGCATGGGGGACAGGAAGGCTGCAGGGGGAGGAAGTGGATAGGGCAGAGAGCAAGGCAGGCACCTGACCTCCCCCCCAGACGGTGCTTTCCCTGTTGTACAGTGTGGGGAGGTAGAATTCCAGTAGTTAGATTCTATATCTGGAAAACTATAATAAATTTATAGATTTTCCATATATAGGCTGATTATTTTTGGGGGGTCATCTTATGTTCGGGGTCATCTTATATTCGAGTAAATACCATAAGTTAAATTGGAAGTGAGATTTACCTATGTTACTGCTTTAATGTTTTAAAAAATCTCAACTGAAATCTTCAGTTCAAATAATTACATGTGCCTCTTTTCTGCTCTCATACACTTTTTACACTGTCAAACCGTTAAAAAAAGATACCTTGCACTGTGTGTGGTACTGTCTTGTTCTGTAAAAATGTTTAGGAAACAGTGTTGTATTTAGGAGTGAAGCTGGGAGGTGGAGGCAAATGCTTCGCTCATAAATGCGACTTATTGAATTGAAATGCAATACAGTTTCCTCTTCCTCCCTTTCCTTCCCCCAGGGTGGTTAACTGTGTTTGTATCCAGTGAAATTTTTACAGTGATCCATAGAACAAGCTGAATCAAGATTCCAGTATTTAAATAATTACACTCTGCATTTGGTCTGATAGAACGGCTAGGACACTGCAGTGAGTCTGACTCGTGTGACTGAATGATTGGGAAGAAACGAATTGGTGTATCTTCAGGAAACCATGTAGCAATCTACAGGGAACAGATGCAGGTGCTGTTTGGCCAAAAAAGGCTCTGATTTTTTTTAATGGTGTCAAGTTGTTATAACATCTGGGGGACAAAAATTGGATTGATACTGTTGATTCCTTCTTGGGATAGGGTCAGTCACCATAGGAAGCTAAGCATGGGTACAGAAGGCGGGAGTGCTGACTCAGCAATTTCACTGCACTGGTTTTTCCACTGAACTCTGGAAATCTGTCGTGTGAACTGCAAGGTCAGGCCTGCTCTTTTCAACAAGCTTGATCAAGAGCAGATTTCTACATTTCATCTTCCACAAGCTCATGCATCCATTTCTCCTGTCCCTCCCTATTCCAGAGAACAGCCCATCTTCACAACCAGAGCACATGTCTTCCAAATTGACCCCAGCACCAAGAAGAACTGGGTTCCTGCAAGCAAGCAGGCTGTAACTGTTTCCTACTTCTATGACAGCACAAGAAACAGCTATCGGATTATCAGTGTGGATGGAGCCAAGGTAGGAGGCTGACAGATACATCTGGCATGTTTTATTGATTGGAGCGGATCATATGATGCTGCTCGTCACTACTTGGTGATGGATATGTATGGGCTTGCCTACAAACATAATTTTAAAAAATACTTGAATTGTGTATAATCTACTGTATGTATTTAATACTGTCAAAGCTTCTGTCACAGAAATTTTGGGAGTATACCAGGTGACTTTCTGTACCATGACTTTCTGTACCATGAATTATTAGGACCAGAGGACCACTTAGGGAGTTTTGGTGAGCTGTTGTGGCTCCCCCCTCCCCACCCCGGCCCACAGCATCTCACCACAACTCCCTAAGTGGCTCTGCCCCAGGCCCCAGCCTTGCACTGTGATCCCAGGGTCCCTATGGAGACCGACCCAGGCCCCACATGGGCGCGTGCTCAGCCAGGCGATGGAATGGGGCCGTGGGCAGGTGGGGACGGGTAGGCAGGGCTGGGGCCTGGGGCAAAGCCGCGATCCACTCCCTGCGTGCTCCTCCTGGCAGAACCAGCACCTGTCTTGGATGTGTGAGCAGTGGATCTTGGCTCTGCCCTGGGCCCTGACCCTGTGCTGTCACCGCTCCACAATCCCAGCTCTGGCCCCAGCTCCACTCACCCATCCTGCTTCTGGACCCTGCTCCCTGCCCACCCACAGCCCTTTCCCATCCTCCCAGCTGAGCATGCTCTGCCTATGCAGGTCTTGGGCTGGTCTCCACATATACCCCACCTGCCTGCTCTGTCCAGCACCCCGGTAGGTCAGACAGGCCAGGGTGCCTAGGTGGTGGGGCTGGGTCCAGCCATGGTGACCTGGCAGCAGCAGCTGGTAGGAGCCACCACTGCCAGGACTGCTAGGAAGAGGAGTCCAGCCCACCCCAGCTGTGCCACCCCAACCCGGCTGTATGCCTGGCAGGCAGCGGGACTGGTTGCACACGTAACTGCCTGGGCTGCCCCCTGCACCTGGCCTAGGAGGGGCCAAGGGACCTGCCACAGGCCAGATAAAATCCCTTGGCAGGATGGTTCCTGCCTGTGGGCCATATTTTTCCCACCCCTGTTCTATATACAGAGTTTTATAACGTATTAATCAGCTTGACCCTATTAATGCCTTAGACAAAAATTAGCCCAAATTTGACTACAACAAGGAATTGGGCTTCTGTGCGTATCAAAACACCATCCGTTCAAGGTAAACCTGGTGTGTGTGTGCACGTGTGCTGGGGGTGGGGGAGGCAAAATTGTATTTTTAAAGGCCATAATGAGTGAGAGGTGTGTATACAGACTGGAGCATGTTAGTTTTGAAGGAAATGATTGTCCATTCTTGGAGCTGAAAAAACATTCTCAGTGAGTAATTCTGACCCTCATCGAGCATCTTGAGAGACTGGAGATCACTTTTGTCAGTTCTTACCATGACGACACATTTTTCCTTTCTCAGTATGGAAAAACTGAAGAAAATGCGCAGAGCTATAATCTCTTTCTACCTTACATGTGTAACTTTCACTATTCATAAATAATTAGGATTAGATTCCCCCCAAATGCATGTGTGCTTTGACTTCAGTGAGCGCCCGTAACTTTGAAGAACAGAGTTATCGCCTTTGCATGTTTAATGGTTGCCTCATTAATATCTAAATTAGAAAACTAAAGTATACTGCTTAATGTTCTGACTGCTGTTAGCAAGCTTATAGCTGGTCAACCTGAAGTTGTATTCTAAGCTTTATCTCCACCCTCCCCTCCCTGCTTAGTCTCATTAAAAATATAATCTTTTCAATAAATAGTTTAAGAATATTTTTCTCAGTCTCAAAATTATGTAATGTATTATTATGTCATTTTTGTGCAAGGAGAAGCAAATACAAATTTTACTGGCTGTGGGGTGGGAGGTGCATGCCTGTCTCAGTATCTGTGCACTTCTTTTGTATGGTTTCAGGGGCAAGAGCTGTGGTCACAGTTTTAATTCCAAATTCCCCAGCCAGACCAACGCCCAGCTGGAAAGCGAGCGTGACTCCAGTATGTTACCCTCAAACTTGTATCTGGGCCAGGATGTTAAGTGCTCCATGGTTTGGTCAGGGTTTCCACAGTTGCAGCCAGGCGAGGTTTCTAGGTGCTACCTGTACATCAGGTGGCCACGCCAACCATGTCCAATGTGCATCCTATTAAGGGTTGTCCACATGCTCTGCAGAAGGTTGAAGCGCAGTTGCTACATTATTGGGTCAGAGATAAGGTATTTATTTGGGAAAGTGTTTTCTGCCCAATCTGTGCACTTATTAATGGTGCTACATGGTGCTCTAAGGGGAGAATGTGTCTTATGCCTAGGCAGACAAGGTTCTTTGGGTAACTGTGGTATAATTTATTAGACCAACTAAATAGTTGGAAAAATTGTTCTTCGCAAGCTTTCAGGCACAAACACCCTTCTTCAGGCATAGGGAGAATCAATATAATCCAACTAAAATACATTAGGAAAGGAAGGGAAAATCAGTCTGCTATAGGATTCAGCAAATGCATATACAGCCTTTACATTTAAACATTCCCCTGAGGTGTCTCAGCAAAAAGTGAATAATTTCTGATACCTGAATTATTCTTCCAGTCCTGGGCCTGTTTTGGCTTGAAACATGGCTAGGGGGCCACATCCTAGTCTAGCTTTCAGCTGTAAATTCAATCCTATACCACAATGTTAACATCCCTGAAAAGCTGCTACTATTGTAAAGTGCTTTTGTCCTAGACTTAAGGTGAAGGCCCAAAAGCAGGGAGGAGGAAGACTAGCAGCCACCTTTTTGCATGAATGGTATTTCAGGGACCTGAGCGTGGTGGAAGATGATTACACTTAAGGTATCTACACCCCATCCCCACTGCTGCCAGAGGCACCACCTCCTAACCATGACTCAGCCCACCGGCTTCTGCTCACATGTGCCCAACCCAGCAAAGCAGCAGGGATTGGCAAATGAGAGGGATTCCTGGAACTGGCGAATGGGAGTGGAAGTAAATGGGCAAGGCATGCTCAGAAGCAGGTGTCTCTGGGTACGCAGCACAGACAAACCCTTAGGCCATTTGTAGATGACACTTTGCAGTGTGTTTAAAGTGGGTTAAATGCCTTTTGCACTGCTTTAATGGCATTGCTGTTTGCACATTCGGCAGTGTATTGCACATTAATTCCAGCCTCTGTAACACACTTGGCGGCGTGACTTTGGGACGCAACAAGTGACCATGGGGTGCTGCAAATTAAAACACCTCTGAGGAGTTTGTTTCCTACCCTACAGCCACAGAGGGAAGTACCGGGCTCCGTGCGGCTCAGCGGCTGTGCAAGCAGACCATGCAGACAGTCTGGCAGCAGCCCAGGAAGGCAGGCTCCGCAGAAGGCAGGGGGCAAAAAAAAATGGCGAGCCTAATTCCCCACCCCACCCTGAGCCTGCCTACCTGAGCTGCACAGGGGCCCAGTGCTTCCTTCTGCAGCTGTGGTACCCCCTGGGACTGCCCGAGCCAGGTGATTGGGAGGGGAGGGGCTGCCACTGCTGTGGAGGGAAGCACCAGTCTCCTCCCCATCCGCGCACCCCCCCATAGCTCAGGGACCACTCTGCCCGCCAGCAGCTTGCTCTCCCCTCCCCACTGCTAGAGAGGTAGGTGAGGATTGGGTGGACACGGGTGTATGCAACATGGGGGTTTACTTTGCCCTAAATTGAAGCTGTGTTTTTAACAAACCACTGCTTCAATTTAGGGAGAATTAACCCCCTGTGTTGTGTACAAATGCCCTTAGATACTTGAGTATCATTTAGACACTGAATAGATGGAGTAGGATCTGGTCCATAGTCTTTCCTTGGCTCTTTGGAAAGTTTTTTTTTATTATCCTTCTTCTATTTGTAAGGGAAGGTGGGGCTGTGAGCTGGTGAAGGAAGCCCAGGCTTTAGAATAACCATGCAGAGCCAGGTTGCCTTAAGACAGCAGAGGGTCTTCAGTAGTTTAAGCATGTTTGTAGACCTTTCTTCCATCCATGTGCCCCGTCAGTTATGTTCTCTTCACAGTACCCAGATAGTAAACTGCTGATATCCCCATCGTAAAGACAAGCAAGCTGAAATATGGATATCTTAAGCTTGGTGCTCACACCAGGAAGCTTCATTTAACAGGACTCGCAAATTCCTGTTCTATGCCCCAACTATGAGACAACACTTCTCAGGCAACTTGTGTGCTTGGACAAGCTGTGCTGAACCTATCAGGCCATTTGCACAAACAGTATTATTTAACTCCAACATCAGGGCAATTGCTGTGATTTTACATTATGACACTGACATTATACAGTGACAACAAAAATATTGAGAAAGCTATTTGCAGTGCGGTGAAGTTGAATCGAGCATTGCTTGTAACTTTGTTATGCAAGCCACATTTTACTTTTAGCATCCAACTGGTTGCTGTGGTCAGTACGTTGACTTGCAAATATGCAAAAGGATGTAGGGTCACTCTAATTTTTCTACTGTTGCTGCCATTCATAAAGTCAGCAACTGACTGTGAAATGCTAACTTGATGAATATTTATTTTACTTCTAATGTACCGTAAGGCCATGGTCCTTGAAAGAGTGATTTATTTTGAAAACCATGACTGCTCTCCTGCCTCTCCACCCCCCATAATTACCAGTATTTTACAGAACATACTCAAGTCTTCGGGGAACCATGCAGCTCTTTTTATGAGCATACATTCATTGTATATTTATAGCAAACATAAATAGTTAAGGGAACATGGAACTTAAACAGGTTTGACAACTAAATGCGAGTGCCAAGTATCTCAGGCTGTCTGAGCAACACCTTACTCACAAGAAAAGTGACTATTTGTGGTAATGTATCTCTTGTGAAGATGAAATTGGTGAGTTAAGTTACCTGGAGGACCAAATATTGAATGACATGAACACTGGGAAGTACATTGTAAGTGCAGTTCGCCAAGATGCCTTTAGTCCGTTTGCCTGCAGTAAAATTCAGATTTCAGTTGCTTATTACTTTGAAAAGCTTAAATTATCCAGGC